TAACTCAAAATCTGCTCTGCAATCAGTGAAACATATTTTCCATCTAAATAACCAAAAAGCAGGATTTATTGCTTTGGATCAACTTTGGGAATAAATTAAAGTGCAAACTTTAATGAATGTATTATGCACTAAATCTATGGCTTGAATTATTTTTTTATTTGAGCGCATTTTAATCGTACGCTGTGTGCTATTTTTTCGAGATTGTGTATCTTTCAATTTGTTGAGAACTGTGGGACACGTTATCGCTTTGTGCGTCATCGTATGCCTGCATGTCTGCTCGCCAGGATTGGGAGGTGCGGCCGTACAACTCTGTGTGCAGCGACCGTATAAGCAGTGACCAATCATCAACCTCGGTTTGTTAAACCCAATCAGCTATCCTGATCATGATTAAGCCCCCTACGTGTACACTTTATCCGCAATATATGTACGGAATAAACGTGCTCCTCGCTATTCGTCTGTTTCCTTTATAGCTAGGCTATAGCTTAGCTAATTCTGGGAGTTTAGCTAGATGTTGGAGAATCTGCCATAGAGATTCCTGAGTTAGTCAGGCATTACTAGCGTAGCAATCCGCTACAGAACTCATAAACTTGATAATAACACTTTAAAAATAATTACAAATGAAATAGGTGCATTAACGTCAAGTTTAAGTGTGTGCTCCTTTTTCATTAAGATTGAAGTTTGAGTAGAGTTTACATGTAATGACAACATTTTATTAAATCATGAACGTTAGTCATCATTTCTATAATCAACTGGTCGAATTTTAATTTTTGTAATGATGGGTGGGGTGTTATAGTCATCCTATTAAATTCTTACTTTTGTGTTTATTTTGGAGGATAATCAGATAAGAATTTGTGTCGATAAAAGCATATCGATGGTCAAAGAATCAAAAGACTTTGTTTGTTGTGGAAATTGAACAATTGCAGCGACACTTGAAAATAAAATTCGTGGAACCATCTTTAAACCATGTTCTACGTGGTTATTGAGAGGATTCCGCCTCAAAGAAGGACAGCTTCGTTGGCAACATACAGCAAGTAACACTGAACTTTATGCATCGAAGACAACGCCGCAACTGAAATTATTTCAACTCACTTAAGAACAGGAAGCAACATGATCACTAGAGTTGAACTTTAGGAGTTGTCATTAGAAGATAATGAACAAGGTCTTTTGTTTAATCAAATTGGACTCAGGAAATTATTTTAATTTAAACACAAACTGTCCTCATAGAGTAAAGGCTTATAGATACCAATGCCATTTCACTACTACTCCAAATTACAATCTTAGTCATTTAGCAAGCAGTATAATTAATTCGATAAATTTTAATGAATAAATATATTTTATTTTTTGCAAATAAAACAAAGCGCTTCCTAAAGGAAACCCGTATTAAATCTATGATTCAGTTACGGAATAAAATTCTTAACCAACCTTTAAAACAACATAGAATCGAGCACCTTAAATTTTTATTGACTATTATGCCATTGGAACAGCTGTTCCCTCAAATTTATTGAAATAGTTCTTCCCTCCTTAAAATTGGTGCAAGACTAGTAGCTACTACTTAGAACATTTAGTAAGTAATACATTGAAATTTGAAGCCTTTAAACAAAAAGGAAAGTGTAAAGTCAAAATACATAAACTGAGTATTAAAACAAGAGTCTTTCATTGCGTGTGATTGCAATTGCCCTATATTTTATTCTTCATACGGCTACCGTTCGAGCAAATGATTACCATTAGACGATCAATGATGATATATTGGTTTATGAAGTAGACAATGATAAAGTGAGTGAAACAAGGAATCTAAAATATTCTAGAAATTGTGGCCGTGTTTTGATCGCATTACGAGTGCAAGGACTCTTCAGGTAATCAATAAACAATAGTGATTACAGTGGCAACATATCCAAAACCACATTTAAGGACAAAGCTCAACCTTAATAAACACGTTCAAAGTCATACGTTTGGCTTCTTCGATTTCAGTGAGGTAGTTTAGCCAACTTTTGGAGTCATTTTACATTTTTCAATTGAGATTGAATAGGTTCAGTCAAAGTTTATTTCGTGTTTCATTCCACAACATACAACGTCGCAAGTTACGTTAAAAATAAAAATTCTGTAAATCTGAAATAATTTTAACAAAAGTAGCATTCCATTCAAAAAATAATTCTCTTTACTATATGAGTTACAAGTTTGATTGAGAACAATTGATCTAAAACCAACTAAAGAGTTAATTTTCCGGATGCTTCATATTTAAATATAGCTACTTGGTTTAGTAAGTAGAATTTATTTATCCTTGATTGAATCTAGAAATGTTTTTCTCTTTTCGGTGGCTACTAAATTAATTCATATTCTCATGAAATATGACAAAAAATGAAAACAGATGATTATTTAAGTGACAAAACATGACTAACTTTGGTTTTTCAACAAAATGGTTTACACTGCCTATACGCTTAAGTTTAAGAATCATAATCAGATAGCACATTTCAGATTGAAACAATTACTGCCTGTAGAAAGACATGGCAGAGGTAAACTTTTATATTATTAATAATTTGATTGATTTGGCACTTGGATGGCACTTCTCAGCACTGAGTCAGTCGTCTAGTCATTTCTTCACAGTTTCACATTCTAATCAAACTGCATCATTTTTGCTGACAGATCTGTTTAATTAAATTTGCTTAATTATTTTTTTCAAATCTGTCTGTAATCAATTTAATAATTTAATTTAATAAAAATGTTTTTTAAGCTAATTAACACTTTCATGACATTGCTTAAGTTGGCTTTATTTCCTAACAAAATGGACCAGTACTTGGCTAATTTATAGATCTTATAATTCCGCTCTGAAATTATCAATTCCTCTCGCCATTATATGGACTTTTAAAATGATACCAATCTGTGTAATTTCCCAATCACTGCACTCTGCGAATCCAAATTCACACAGGCAGAAGACGCAAATTCCAAAATTTAAACCGATACTCAAATCAAACATTATGAATGAGCTTTGATAAGATCTCTTAAATTTTCGTTGAATTCCAATATCGTTACTTCAGTCCATCAGCGCGTCAAAGTATTATTCATGCTCGGAAAGCGTATTTGCTTGACTCTATCTTGTTAGGAAATAAATAATTTAAGCATATAGCAAATTTCAATTATCGACTAATTTATTTTAATAACGTTCTGCATATCGAAAGAAGCTTTCACATTAAGTTTGTCTGAATATAATCAATATTGAATTTTAAATATTTAAATGTCAGTCAAAATAATTTTTCCGTGTTACTTCCTGGTGCTTTTCTCCAAATTCGTTTTGAGGTAACGCCCCATTATAAAATTATTGCAACCTCAAACAGATAAGGAATTATTTATTAATTTTCTGTTTAATAAATGGTAACTTACAGAATCTTGTATCTGCGCATATTTTGTTAACTCAATTTCCCGAAGGTTATGTGTTTTTGGTATTTTGAAACCACAGAAAACTATTTATCTCCTCCACATTGAAATCTAATCTTGAAAGGGGATTTCCTTTAACCTCCCAATCATGACTAATTCCAGTCCCACATGAAGGAACTTCAAAAACTTCCCTTTGACGGAATCACAAATTTCCACTTGAGGGAATTACTGCACTGTAATGGTTTCCAAGAACACGCCTTGTTCCTACTTCTATATAAATTTCTGACCAATAATCCAAACTTTAATTTTTTAATGAAATTTATCTTCTTGCACCCATTCAATATGAAAATACAAATAACTAAAAGACTTCTCAATGCTAACGAACCATTCTTTCTAACACCAATAAATTAAAATAAATATTGAATTTCTTGAGTAGGCAATTTAATCGTAAGTCCAATATTGATTTAAAAATTTAATAATTACGTTTTTACTATAATAATCTACTGATATAAGATTATGGCGTGAGTACGTATCATTAGATGTCTTTAATCCTGGTCGTCATGCATAAATGAAAAACAGGTAATAATACTTATAGATGTGAAGATTTTTGAACTAGATTATTAGCATTCTTTCATCACATATGAGTAAAACTCTATTAATGCCTACCCTTTGTGAAGCGTAGTAAAAGAATGTAATATTATATACATGTAATTGATAAAATCAAATTTATTCCAAACACGACTTTATCGTACTTAGGAACCTTTGAATAAGAGAACTTGTTGTCCACCTATGTTCAGAGAAATAAGCTTCTTTTTCTCGTGTGCGAAAGAGCTAAAAGGAAGATAATGAAATTAGTGACGAGAGAATTAGCAATGCCAACACCTACCTGCTGAAATCTCGTCCAACAATGCAAGTCCAAGAGCCTCCATAGCGCTCATCGAAGTATTGCCGAATTCCAGTGGCTATTTTAACAGGAGTAACTTCAGGGCGGCACATAATCCGAGCACATACATCAACAACTTCTTGTTGCATCACCTCCTTCATATCCGTTTGATGAACTTTCGCCTTCACGTAACTCATAGTTTAGTGGAGTTGTGATTGAAAGAATGCGGAACGTTTCCCAAGTGATTAGAGGTGAATAAATGTACACTCACAAATAGGTGACTAGCTTTAATAGCAGGGTGTATTTCAACTTTGCCGAATTCTGATTTCCCATTGGTTTAGCACATTTAAGCAAAATTTATGGGAAGAGATAAGATGTGCTTTAGAGACGGAATATTGATCATTTTATGTTCTCACATTGATATAACACAAAATTGTGGAAGCGTATAAAATTTATGTGAGGGTTGTGAAATATATGCTTACCTCGAAAGAGTGATTGACAGAAATTCGGTATTATATTGCAAATGCATTCACAGAAAATTTGTAAAGATATTGAATAACAGATCAAAGCCAAATTTTTAAAAAATTAACGTTTTATCATTTCTTTCTACGTTACTGATACCGGAAGATAACAATGGACTACATCTTCGAAATTAATTTATAGCAATGATTAAAAAGGTTTGCAAATCTAATAAAGAAGAAAGCAAGCGTTAGTTCATGAATAGCCAATGAGATAACTGAGATTCAGGAATTGATTTATATTTTGTAGAATTTAGGTTTACGTTGTGTTCTAGATAAAACTGGCAATCTTGACATGAACATAGAAATATAGTTAGCAACAAAGAAATTAACAGCCTTACCTCTAGCCCTGAGCAAGCCGATTCAACCATTTCCTTGGGAAGTGTCTCAAAAGCCTTTCCCATTCACACGATCAACGAATTGAATTTTATTGTGGTGCCGATGTGATTAGTGTCTTTCTTCACAGAATAAAATTCATGCCAGCTCCGTGTGGAGAAATTTGGACTGCATGACTCATGGGGAGTACTTCGAACGATATGTAAGACAAATGTGATGTGCTTTTGATCTTGGCCCAAACGGAATCAAGTGAAAAGAACCAAATTTAGCAAAGTAGAACGTTTCACTTAAAAAGAAATTGCGACTTTTTTGTTAGACGATTTTTGAGAGCAAATTCTGGGAGACCTTTACCTCGGTGATGGTTACATAACTAGTAATTGCGAGGATCTCCTTTTAGTGCAAGCGAAATGATAGAGGCTGAGAATATCTATTGACCGTGATGAAGAAAACCGAACTATGATGGCATGATGCTCCAAAATCTTTTACAAGAAAATCTAGCTTTACAGTCTAGTCAGATCGAAAAGCCTAGTTGGGGAAGCCACGTACTCTCCAGTGGACTTTAGTTGAAGTGGAATTGTTTTCACAGTGTTAAGAGAGCACTAGGGAATTGCTATAATTAAAATTACAAATTATCATTATGCAAATTGTTCTCTTTCATAGTGCTGGTGGATTTTAATAATCTATTCTCATTGGCAACTCATTTTAATGAAGATGAGGTAAAACATAAAGCACAGTAGCACATCGGGAAAAACAACTGAGCATAATTGCATGAGAAAGCTCTCTGTGTGATGCAATTCAGGATATCGACAATAAGTGGTAACTTTCTGTCAAATGGATTTTTCAAAACCAACCACTAAGCTTAAAATGCTGTCCAATTCTATTATGTTCATATTACGCCAATATCCAATTCAATTCATCAATTTTTTTAAATTTTAAAATGGACAATCATTTTGGCTAACATTTGTTTGACGCTTCAAAGCATCACCAATAAGTTATTTTGTTAATATATCAAGTTGTGGTTGAATTGGGATCGATGCGGGTACTTTTGATTTCTGTAGGAAGAACAGAACTGTTTATCCATTTACTTAAACAACTGTCGCTTTATCAGACGAATTTAAGTGCAAATAATATGTAACTTATTTACGTATAATCCTTTTATTCATTATTATATCATATTTCCGGCAGTAATTCTTGCATTAGCAAAGTTGTCACTGGTAGTTCCTTACTAATACATTCTAGTTTATGCCGCATTCACAAATATTTAAATCCATTTCGCTGAAATGTCCTTAAGTACTATTTGGAGCAATATAAGCCAATGCGTCTTAATTGTATTTTAACATTTTAACTCTCCAATCAAGATAAGATATCACACTGATTGACAGTCACATGTTAATTAGCTAGTAGCCAGTCATATAAGGTGCTTGTTTAACTTATTTTATTACCCGCTACAAATCGAATTCGAAAATTATATCATTTGTTTATGGTTTGGTGTTTAGGTTTCGAATCAGTGAGTTGCATCCTAAGTGAGGATGAAATTCTATGATTTTCAACCATTTAATGATTAATAGTAACTAAAGCTGGATTATATCGCATAAATCATCATTTAAAAATCCTGATTGAGCAGTTTTATAGTGTACACAATCAAAAAATCTGGAAAAGCATTACTCTTATCCCCAAATATAACTATATAAATATTTTTTTTCATTTAAAACCAGCTGATCTTGACTAAATATAGGTGGAGAAATCGATAAATAGAGGGAAATCAAATAACATCAAAGAACTAAGAAGTCAAGTTGTACAATATTCACTAGTTGTACACTTCACGCTTAAAAATTCGAATCTCATTACTCAATCAATTTTTATTGGTTGGTGTCATTTATAAACAGTAAGAGTAGATCTTATGGCTTCAAGTAAATTTTATTCAATCGATTATGTAAGGAAATGATCGCCTAAGATTGTCTACCACTTATTTTTGATAGATAAAGTGACTAAGTCAACAGAACTCTTTACACTATTTAATTGTCATAATGTTCCTTATTCTAAATAGTCACCGTATGGACAATGCACATTTAAGGGGAGTTGAATTATAAGAGTGAAAAATATTTCATTGAATTTTAAACTCTATCGACACTTTCAGAGTTGCAAATTACAAATAATTATTTTTTGCAAGAAACAGGTATGCACAAAAAGTTTACGGGCAATTAATCTGTATCAAATATTGCCTAAATATTTGTTTATTTATATCAAATGGCAGGCGCTTTGTGAATTCAGGCTTCACAGAGAGGAAGACAAATCAAAATGAATAAATTTGAGAGGGGAGGGGAATAGGAGAGTGTTTCAAAGATGTAAAAGAGTCAGACTCAAAGGTAGAAAAAAGGTGAGATGAGTACTATGGTGGTATTCGAATATAACTTACGATGAGGTGATTGCTGTTTAAAGTCAGAATGAGTATACGTTGTCTAGAGTGTACCACGTGGAGGCAAGCCCATCGCACACCCGTATTGCCTAAATATTAATTAGCACATAAGGACTTGGATGGTAATAACTGTAATGTCCGCCTTGGTGGTTGAATTGAGGGGCCTGTAGTTCGTGTTGATAATTATTCAAAATTAAAAATTCTTACTTAATTGTAGATATGAATCAAAAAATAAGTATGCTTCTAAAATGTTTAGAATAAAGTAAAGCCTAAGGCTAATAAGTTTTTCTTCAAAAATGGAGAAGTACTTATCGATTTTTCAACTAAATAAAATTGCCTCTATTGAATTAAGTTTTAAATTTAGATGAAGCGAGTTAAATATGAGATGATTATGCTCAGAAGATTAGTAATTCGTATCAGCATGCATATCGATTTGGCGAAAACCGCTGTTAAACGTTTGATAAGTCCTCTTCAGCAAGAAAGCAAATTTGTTTTAGTTTTGTGAGGGTGTGGTCAAGTGAAGATCGATAAGGGTGTAGTTATATCTAGTTTTGTGAGTGCAAAAGTCTATCCCATAGCACCATAGTACTTTGAATTAAATTAGTGAAATTCAGCTTCACATTGACAAACGTCTCTGAAAAATTACTTTAGGATATGTGAAGATTTGTATGACATATGATCTAGCATGGCACATGCTGACTCTTGCAATAGATCAAAACGACTTTCCGTGGGTTAAATTCCTTTTCTGTATCTGCGTATATGACGTTAAAAAACCGACCATTTCAGTATAATAGCTTGCATTTTTAAGAACGAGTTCGTTTGCGGCATAATAGGAGTGTAATACGTCAAATAAACAGATAAAAAGCTCAAAAGTGATTATTCAACAATTTTAAGCGAGTGAATATAACCTTTTCATCATTCTCGCTTACTTGGTGATATAATGGAGTCACAAAGATATGACCACACTTCCAGTTATATTAACCAGTCAACTCGGTCTCAATTCTTCAGACATGAAGTAAAGGCATTAAACAGTGAAAATTTGGGTTCTGTCTCTTATGGGAAACAGATACAAAGATGTTTCTTCAATTAACCTAAAGCAATAGTAAAGTAGCAATATTCTCCTTCTCATTGATCACTGGTCACTTCTAAATTGTCACACGTAGATAGAAAAATTCGAATTAGAATTGCTTCCATTCCAATCAGACAGATATTTTTATGAATAATGCAAAGTAATGGAAAAATAAGTACAGGTTTTATTATACTTCTTATAAGGTGGTCTCAGGAACATCCTTTTTAATTTGTTTGTAATAAAATTGAATATGATGAGTTAAATAATGTTGGTACTATAACAACAGGTAGTGCAATATTAATTTAATCAATTAAATTTTGAATTTTAAGATGATGATAATCTAATTTATTTGCCCAGTTGCAATGGTTATTTTATTAGTCCCTTATAGGTTATGCTATTGTGCTTAGCATAAATTTTCATATAAAATCGAGTCATACATTTTATTCGCTCTGCCAAATGAAGCAAATAGAATAGAACTAGTTACTTTCCTAACGTACTACATTCTGAATCAACTTCGCTATTGAAAGTCGTTATTGCTGCCTTACAGGCATTTGGCATTACACTTCTAGGCGGTAACGACAATACGTGCACATCTCAAGTACCCGTTCTCAATTAATTATTGCGATTTAATAATCACATCCAATGCCTATTGGAGCATTCTCAAGATTTCTGAGAAGGATCCTATAAAGACTGGCACTTACAGTACTAGGTCTTCACAAGAATTTCGTTTCTATGCCAGACAAAATGAGTACGATGAAAGCCAAGGTGAATCAATCAGACATGAAGGAGAAAATGCAACAAGAGGCTGTCAATGCGGTTGCTCAAGCCATTGTCACGGAAGATTCTGCTGTTGCTGTAGCAACTGCAATACGGAAACACTTTGACGCCCACTTCGGTCCCTCATGGACTTGCATAGTTGGTCGGGATTTCAGCAGGTAAATTCAAGCTACAATTTTCGCTGACGCTCCTCCTAACAATTTGATGATTTTCTGAATTTTATTTCTTTTCCGAACTTCTAGCTCCTTTGCATACGAAAAGAAAAAGCATATTTCCTTGGAAATGGGAGGCCAACAAATTCTACTTTTCAAGAGTGCTTAGTTATACTCATATTTAAAAAAACCAGTATTTCTTCAAATCAACTGTATCATGCATCTCATTCACCGTATTCTAGCAACTTCGGCTCCATATTTGTATGTTAAAATTTTAAACAAATAAAGAGTCACCTTAAACAAAAATGCCAAATTTTTATTTTTTTCAAAATGATTTTATTAATGGGTCAAACGGATGTGGTAAGGACGCTTCGTGCAATAAAGGTGCTGTTATTATTTTAGCCAATACCGAAACCATTTGACCCTTTTTGGCTTCTTTCTAATTCCACCCCAAGTGCCAAGCAATCAAGTTGAGGTGTCAGATGAAACAACACAAGTGAATGGTTTACTTGAAAATTGAGATGGGGACAAGTGGAGTGTTTAGACACTTTAAAATCTGCCTAGTCTTTTTAACATTTAAACACTATTGTATATATCCTTGATCTTTGGTCTAACAAATTTTATATTACTCAAGATCTCATTTGCTAGAACCTGATAATCTAGCTTATACTGTTAGCTCCACGAGATCATTAGAGTATTGTCAAGTGAGGAAGGTTCGAGACATTTTGAGAGACGGAAAATGCAACTAGTATGAGATAAGTTTCAGTTTCCCAATTGACATTATTTAAGTCAAAGTACACTTTATTGCATTTAAAAGAATTAAGTTGACTTTAAATAATATCATGTAAATGAATTTCCTTGATACTTAACTTGTTGCACCGGACTAAAATATTTGTCAGATCTATCCAGTTAATAGATATTATTCAGTCATTGTACCATAAAGAACTTTTTCAAGCCTTTTTCATTGTATTTCATTTATGTCTATTTGCGTCAGCACAATTAAATGTGAACTAACCCATTTTTATCGATTAGAAAATTTCATTTGCCTGTACACGATATTAGTTCAATTGAATTAAACGCAAATGCTTACATTTCATCACCGTCTTTTGCTATTAATCCCACGATCTGTGTATTCTGAAGTTAAATTTGGAATGTCTGGAATAATGAAATTATAGAGACAGATTTTAAATTGGAGTAGTCTCTAGAAGTCATTGACCTATAAATTAATAAATCTAAGAACAGATTTCATTATTGATTTTTAGTTTATAATATTTAGGCTAATGAATTGCGACTTCTTTGCACCCTTAGAAAAGATCATGCTAATAAGGTATTTCCACACTGTGTAACAAAAAATAACGAGAATTTGAAAATTTGAATTTTAAACTAATCTCCATAAAAAATGCATAACATTAAAATTGTGAAAAAAAGAGTGAAAGATGAGAACTAATAATTGTTGGCAACCTATAAAATAAACGGGACTGTTGAAAAGATCGCATGGAAAATAATTAATGAAGAAGTCAAAATGATCAAATGAAAAGTAAACTTCAGCAAACAGTAAATTTTTTGGCAAATAACTTGGTTTTGTTCAGGGCGAATTAAATTAGTTTCTTTTTTAATCGTTCATGTAGTTTGTTTTTTCTTATATGGGTCATATTTAAGGCGTGTTTGCTATTATTGAATCCTGATTTTAGTAAGCCACTTCAAGGTTGCCAATTAGGTCATAGCATGTACTTTTTTTCTTTAAAAGTCCTATATCGTTCGCCATAATTATGTCTTTAAAATGGAGTTAGCTTTTCGTCTTTAATCAAAGCTTCTTTTCCTTCCTGTGCAATCCACACTTGGGGGAGGACAACAGCGAACAATCCGAGCGACATTATTAATCGTCATTGCTAGATATTCTCCAGTAGGGGTGTGCGATAGACTTACCTCCACGTGGTGCACCCTGGGCAACGTATACTCATACGGCAAAAAAGTCTATCAACCAGCAGTTGACTCCTGACTTCAAATTACAATGACCCTTCCACAGTACTCACTTTATCTTTTCTAAGCCTTTGTTTCTGTCTGTCTCTTTTACATCTGTGAATCATTATTCTATTCCCCCTCTCCACTTTATGTCACATTGATGCTCCTTCCCTTAGTGAAGCCCGAAGTCAATTAAAGGGCTGATGATAACTATCAAAACGCCTGCCATTTGAAATAAATAAATAAATATTCTCCAGTAATAGTGCAAAAAAGTTGACTGTTTTCTGAATTGTCTCCCAGTTGTCTTCAATTATATATCCCAAATTCTGTCTTGATATAGAAGCCTTACTTTGCACTATCTGCCTAACTTTAATGGTCCTGATAAAGATGGGCATATGCCTTGTTCTTTCGAAATATTATGGACTTAGTGCATTCATCGACCCGATCGTTACTT